TCGTCGTATACATATGATTTTTTTATTTAGTGGATATTTGATGAAAACAAATAGAGTGTAAAAATTTTTAAGAAAGAAGAGATACGCTCCTTCTCAGAGAGATCTCAGATTCATTTAAGGTTGTTGAACTCATTTCAAGAATTTAATTATGTAAAGTGATAGTTATAAAGATGAATCTGGTTTTTGGAAAAGTATATATATATATAATATCTTTCATTGAGAAGCGAAAATTAAAGGAAGAGATACAATTTAAAAAAAAATACAATAGAAATTTAGAATATAACAGAAAAAGCAAAACTAGAAGAAAATAAAATTATCTCTAAAATTGCAATAGGTTAGTTAACAGTAAACTACAAATCTTATTTGTCTACACTATTGCTTCCGATTCCAAAATTTTGCAATAATAGAGAGTTTTTGCATACCGTATTTTGGACGTCCGTTAGCTTTTTCTCCCTAGCGCGCATGCTCATAGGAAATATTATTACAGATACGCATGCGCAATTTCCTATGAGCATGCGCGATAGGAAGAAAAAGCTAACGGATGTCCAAAATACGGTATGCAAAAACTCTCTAATAGCTAAGCTTAAAAGCATGCGGAAAAATGTGGGACTTTGTAAGATAATAGTATTTGATTCAGAAACATATATGACAGGCGTTGAAAATTCTACTTCAGTAGAGGGGAACATATAAATAAATAACACGAATTACGAGGATACAAATATTCTTGATTCGGATGAGATGGTATTAAAAGCGATGCGAATCGTTGGGCAGATATGGGGAGATTGTTCAGACATACAAGGATTACGAACCTCTTACAAGAAAGAGAGATAGTAGTAGTTCTGGACAGGATCAGCGTTTTCAATGTATGGAATGTGATCAACGCATAATGACATAGTCTTACACCGTGCTAGTGGTGAAGTACATTGCCAGCAGTTAGAACCTACTAGGACGAAATTTCCAAACGAAATTCTGTCGACTGAAGAGCATGGAGTCGACTAGTCATGGACTGAAGGTTTAGTTTGGTTTGTCGCTCTACTGTCACTTTTTGAACACTTTACGCTACTTAGACTGGGACCTACACTTTAAAGTGGATTCCGAACCACTCATAAATATGAACTGAATGGGACTCTGGCGAATTACTCTGTATCTCTCGATAAGCCTATTCCACGTTTGGTTTGTCTACGGTCATTTTTTTTCGCACTCTAGGATAATTAGAAGGGAACCTACAGTTTAACATGGATTCCGAACCACCCACAAACATCCATGTCACCGCCATGATTCGACCCTGAAGCCTGTGGTATCAAAGGCCAGAGCACTAGACAATTGGCCATCAGGCCGCCACCTATTCCAGGAGAACAACCACTGATGAGTGACTTCAATGGCAGTGATCAAGTTATCTTAATGATGCCTAACTAAATGGACAAGCTTTTTGTGCGACGGGCGGGCCTGTGTGAAGTTCTTCAACATTATCCACCACATTCTTATAAAGTCAAGATGCCAGATGGGAGTATAAGGCATGTGCAACAATATAAGATTAGAGGATATTCCCACCGATGCCTAGCCGACAGAGTTAAAGTTTGAAGAAGAACAAGGACTTTTCACGAAGAAGTTGAAGTGCCCGGGAGAGGTAAATATCGACACTTAATAAAACCATATTTTAATAGAAAGAAAAAATGGGCTGTGCTGATGATTAAAAGGCCAAATATAGCGTGAATTGTGCTGATGATTAAAGAAAAATCATCTGATAATACTAAAGTTAAATATGTGTTTAGTATAATTGTTTGTTATATTTTTATTGTGTACGATAATTATTTTTACGCGTTTCTACAGATTGTGTTTGTGATGTTAATATTTAAGCTCATGTAATTGATTATTTAAAATAACGTTGTGTTATTTCTTGAGATTAATTCTAGTTTGTTTGATTTGTGTAATATTAACTATTGATCAATATTTTTATGATTAATTAATTATATTAATATTTTATTATGAATGAACCTTACTTTTGTATCATTAATTAATATATTAAATTTTATTGTAATTAACTAGTATTAGACTTTGAATTGTTTATTTTTTTATTTTGTATCTTATTTTGTAGATTTCGTAGAATAAGCCTCTCTATAAAGCTTCACTCTTTGGCTTTGCGTATGTTCACGTTTATATTTATATTATTTATATAACAAATTTATTTCATTCACACGAGTTTTTGACAAACCACTTTCTTGAAATTCAACGAAATGCATATCATGATTTCTCCACATCTTCCTTCATAGATTTATTTTTACATAATTTAAGGAGTTTTAAGTTCCAAAACATAGATTTTTGCCTACATTTAACATGAGAATATATTTATTAAAATCTGAACTAAGTTTCAGTGTCTCTGAAAATGTTACATACATTTTAAACACCTATAAAACCCATTAATTAAAACGTTCACACGTGTACATAATCGCGCATTTTTCCTCTTTATCACATGCTCCATTCTAATATTAACACTGTATACTGTTATTTTTTTTCTACCAATCCTATAAGCAGAAATGTCAACGACATGCGATATCAATTAGAATCACCAAGATAAAAAAAAATAAAATAAAATAAAAATAAATAAAATAACAAAAAAAAAATGATAGCCATAAGTGCTTTAACAACGGAAGTAACTAGACAGGATAAAAAAGAAATCGAATGAAGCTGAGGTTCGATATCTGGAAGGAATCTCTCGACCAGTTTTCAAACACCCAACAGAATTTCGAACACATAAAATTTTTTTCATTGGCCATGATCATCTATAGCTATAACACATTCATGATTCTACAAAACTGTAGATTGTTTAGTACTCAAGTCGTTTCTGTAGCTATAAAATAAATGTTAATCCATATATTACTAGAACATCACCCAAATTTCTTAATGAAGCCAAAGTTCAATAACCAAATCCAATCGATGAACCCGTTTGTGCCAATGCCATTTTCTTGAAATTCAACGAGATGCATCCAATCATCATTTCTCTAGGTGGTTTAAGACACGTAGATATTTTTACATAATTTAAGGTTTGGTTTGTTGCTGTACGGTCATTTTGTGCACACTTTGGGCTAATTAGACACGGATCTGCAGTTTAACGTGGAGTCCGAACCACTAATAAGCATCCGTACCACCGCCAGGATAAGAATTTGAAGCCTGTGGTACCAAAGACCATAATTTAAGGAGTTTTAAATTCGAAATCACATTTAAATCACAAATCTTCTTTTAACGTGAGAATAGAATGGTGAGAATGAAAATCTGAACTAAGTGCCAGTGTCTCTGAAAATATTACACACATTTTACACCCTATAAAACCCACTAATTAAAACGCTCACACGTGTACATAATCGCATATTTTTCCTCTTTATCACATGAGCTGCGCTAATATTAACACTGTATACTATTATTTCTTTCCTACCAATCCCATAAGCAGAAATGTCAACGACATACGATGTCAATTAGAATCACCGAGATAAAAAAGATAACCCTAAGTGCTTTAACAACCAGACAGGATGAAAAAGAAATCGAACGAAGGAACGCTCGATGCCTGGAGGGGATCCCTCGACCAGTTCTCGAACACCCGAAGCGGAAGAAAGTGTTCCATATGATGCAATCATCAGGAAGACATGCAAATCATATCCTCCCATTCACTGCAGATACCGGCACGTCACTCAAAAGTGATTCTATATTGTTAGTGTTTAATGAACATAAACGAAAAGGGTTACGCTATCATTCAATTATGTTGTTTTTGTAGAGAATAAGTCAGTGTTAAAATACCGTTGTATTATTACAGTATCACAACTAGTTTTGTTAGTGTTTAATGAAAATAAACGGAAAGAAATAGGCTGTCATTCAATTTTGCTGTTTTTGTAAAGAATAAGCCAGTGATGTGATACTGTAATTTAATATTGATTGTTATAATGAATACATTTATGAATGCCTTATGCATCGGTGAATAGAATGATATTTAAACTAGTTTTGTTAGTGTTTAATGAACATAAGCGGAAACGGTTGCGCTATTTTTCAATTTTTTTGTTTTGTAGGGAATAAGTCAGTGTTGTGAAACTGTCATTTTGATTAAGAAAATTTAATATTAATTAATATAATGAATGGCTTATGCGTCGGTGAATACAATATTTTAACTAGTTTTGATAGTGTTTAATGAACAATAACAGAAAGGGTTACACTATCGTTCAATTTTTTTTGTTTTTGTAGAGAATAAGTCAGTGGCGTGATACTGTAATTTAATATTAATTGTTATAATGAATACATTTATGAATGCCTTATGCGTCGGTGAATACAACGGTATTTTAACTAGTTTTGTTGGTGTCTAATGAACATAAGCGGAAAGGGTTACGTTATCATTCAATTTTGTTGTTTTTGTAGAGAATAAGTCAGTGATGTGATACTGTAATTTAATATTGATTGTTATAATGAATACATTTATGAATGCCTTATGCGTCGGTGAATACAACGGTATTTTAACTAGTTTTGCTGGTGTCTAATGAACATAAACGGAAATGGTTACGCTATCATACAATTTTGTTTTTTTTGTAGAGAATAAGTCAGTGGAGAGATACTGTCATTTTGACTAAGAAAATTTAATATCAATTGTTATAATGAATGACTTATGCGTCGTTGAATACAATGATATTTTAACTAGTTTTGTTATTGTTTAATGAACATAAAGGGAAAATGTTGCTGTTGTTTCTTATCCCACTTGGCTGGCCCAGCCCACGAGCCCATACGTACTCATGATTGAAGGGGGAAGGAAGCAGCTTCTGTTGTGACGGAGCACCCGTAGGTAGAAGTCTGACTTCGGCTCCGTGACGCTCTTACAGTCATAGGAGAACGGGACCTACGGCTTAAAGTGGATTCCGAACCACTACAAACATCCATGGCACCGCCGGGATTCGAACCCGAAACCTGTGGCACCGAGTGCCAGAGCGCTAGACACTCGGCCATTCAGGTCCCAAATTTGTGAATGCCAACGGCACGCGGTGTTCCCAGGTGGTCACCTTCACAAGTACTGACCGCGCCCAATGATGCTTGACTTCGGTGATCTAATGAGAACCGGTATATTTGGTATACCGGTAAGTTGTTTTTGTAGAGAATACGTCAGTGTTGTGATACGGTAATTTTGACTAAGAAAACTGAATATTAATTGTTATAATGAACGCATTTATGAATGGCTTATGCGTGGATGAATACAACGGCATTTTAGCTGCATATTATTTGCGCTTATATTTAAATAATTAAAAACATCCTGAAAAAAAACGATCAAGCATTAGAGGTTTGGTTTGGTTTGTCGCTCTACGGTCATTTTATGCACACTTTGGGCTAATTAGACCCAGACCTACAATATAACGTAAATTCCGAACCATTCACAATCATCCATGCTACTTCCAGGATTCGAACCAATTGGCTATCAGGCGCCAGAACGCTAGCCAATTGGCCATCGTCAAGCTTTAGGAAACTACATATCCAATATCAATATTTGAAAGTTACACTTACATTTTAAGAGCAAAATCAAGAGAACTTGAAGAATTTTTACAAAGGCAATAATACTTTTTAACTAAATAAATATAATTGCAATACTTCTTTGTGTATTAAAATATTAATTGCAAAAATAGCGCTATTATACTGCGCATTAGTTTAAATGTCATATAGTTCCTTATTTTAAAAAATTAAAGAACTAGATGAAAACTTAAATGATTGGTGCAAATTAAACAATTCAAAAACTGAAAGATTTTAAACTTAAACTTACATTTATATACAAAAGTAACCTACAAATAAATCGTAAGTAGCTTATAACTAAAGACATTACCTTTTTAATATTTAAGTAACACCTTTAATTATATGTTATAATTAAAGGCATTGCATTACCTTAATATTTTTAATATTTATTTAATGCCTTTTATTATATATTAATATTCAGGGCCTGAATGGCCGAGTGGCTAGCGCTCTGTACCACAGGTTTCGGGTTCCAGTCCCGGCGGTGCCATGGATGTTTGTAGTGGTTCGGAATCAACTTTAAACCGTAGGTCCCGGTCTAATATGATCGTAGAGCGTTACGGGGGCATTGTTACTCCGCGTCCGTGGCTTATCTTCAAGTTACATGCACCCCCTGGGTGATGCAAAGTGAGTACGTCTGTGCAGCGCTTGCCTTAAGGCATCCAAGACCAAGCTGTCTAAGTGTTTTCAAGCTGCATTAGAAAGCAAAAATATATATATATATATATTAATATTCTTACTTCAATAAATGTTTCATAGCTGAAAGTGGGGAAAGAACACTTTAAATAAAGAAAGTCGCTTATAATGAAAATGTAACATTTCTATAGTAACAATTTGGTTGTCATGACGACCTTCAATTGCCGAAAAAAGCTGCATAACAATTACTTTTTTTCCCAATAAAATTCTTCAAAACTTAAAAATGCATTTTTGCATCACAACAACGAACATGTTATACTTTTTCAACGATGAGTATTTGGTTTTCTTAAATAACAATTTAAATGTTCAGCGAGATGCCTAAAAGTAAAACTTATTTCCTTTTGAAATTAATTCTAATTTTTTTTTTTTTTTTTTTTTTTGAACTAAGAATCACATTTTCGCCGAAAACATCTCACGCTCTAATTTTCACATTTCTTTTATTTTAAAACTTTTAATTGAATTGAAAGACATACTTTATCTTTCCCATTTGTGTATAATGAAAAGAAATTATTTTATTTCAAATATTATCAAATTTAGTAATTAAATTCATTTAACCTTGACGCGCATATATGATCTATTATTAAAAAAAAAAATACCTTTTTGATTGCACAACTCGTGGCTCAGTGGCATCATAATAAAAAAAAAGTTTTATTTAGTATAAAAATTTTAAATTGTAATAAATTTATATATTTGTAATTTTTGTTATTAAATAATTTATACTTGTGAATAAATCAAATTATTTATAATTTCGAAATTGAAATCAATTAACATAAATTTCTCTGTAACTTTTTTTCTAATTGTTCTGGGTTTAGGTTTGGTTTGTCGCTCTATTGTCCTCTTGCGCAAACTTTAGGCTAAACAGATCGGGACCTACAGTTTAAAGTGGATTCCGAACCATTGCAAACATCCATGGCACCGCCGGGACTCGAACCTGAAACCTGTGGTACCGAGAGCCAGAGTGCTACTCGGCCATTCAGGCCCCAATTTTTTTCCTGAGGATGTAGAATACTTTTTATTTATTATGTATAATATTTATACCTTTAGACACTTATACCCCTCTTTCAAATCCGTTTTCATCCTTTGGTAGGTTTTACTTCCAACAATTTGAAAGCATCACTTTCAAGTTTATTTTTCAGTTTTGAATAATAATTTTTCAGTTCCATTATAATTATCTGGATAATATTTAGTTAATATAAAGATTATTTTAATTAAATAAAAGTAGAATGAAAAGTATTGCCCGACTCGTGGCTCAGTGGCAACGTGCGCAGCTGGTGAGCATTAGGGCTGAGGTTCAATCTGCTACCGTCTTTGTTGTACTGTTTCAGAAAAACGAGGAGACTCGATGGCGTCTGTGATGCTCAGCATCTTGCCTCGTTAGACGTACTACACCTGGTGAGAGTTTTCTGTGGTTTCTCCCATACGATACACAAATGTTTAGTAGTTCTAACTAAAAGTCCCCCTGGAACGCATTGCCCTCTCCTTCTTTAGCGACATGAAGCAGAAGTTCGACTTCAAAATACCGGTGCTCCGTCGCAAAAGAAGCTGCCTTCCCCCCTACCTCCATCCATAAGTAGACTAACTACTCATCGGGTATCCGTCCCGAGCTGCCGAACACTGGGGGTTTTAATCCTCCTGGATTTTCTCCTGTACGATACGCAAATGCAGGGTAGTTCTCCGAAAGAGTCCTCCCGGAAGGCACTGCTATACACATTTTCAGTGACACAAAGCAGAAGTCAGACTTCTACTTACGGGTGCTCCATCATAACAGAAGCTGCCCTCTCCTTCCATGAGGTATACGACAACATTAACGATATTTTACAAAAACTTTTATACATTCTATTATATTATTTATGAAATTGATGTGGCTCTTCATATCCAAATATATTTCATATCAAGCAGATATGGTCCCGATGTTGCTCGGCTACCGAGAGATTGCTTATTTTTATTTTATCACCATCATCATCAGTGGCGCAACAATCCCTTAGCAGCCCAAGACCGACTGCCTACTGGCAGATTTCTGGACAGGAGATGTTTTCTTTTTACGGGGTAGGGTAGTCATTCCTACGCCCAACTCTCTACACTCATATTAGACGTTCGGAACCAACCTATGGTTTAAAGTGGATTCCGAACAACTGCAAACATTCATACACCGCCTGGACTTGATCCCAAAACCTGTAGCACCGAGCTCCAGAGGACTAGTCACTCAGCCATGAGTCCTCTACTTTTACTTCAGCCAAATTAATTAAAAAATAGTTTCAGCAGAAACTTTAACGATATCCAAAACAAAATTTCATTGGAATTATTCCCGTAAAATAACTTTAAACTCAACTTTTTCACATTCGAGGGGATAAAAAATCTTTAATATAATCCTTTAAAAACTGAACACGGTTTTACGTGCAATGGCACTTTAATATCATCGTTGAGCAAAATTAACTCTAAACATCATCGGGTTGCCAGGTGGTATCGGGTACAAAGTATTAAAGTATTACTAAAATGAAAGTTCGGTTAATTAAAAAAGTTAAATTTAATAAAACTTTTTTCACGATTTTTTTTTATGAGTATTAGATAAAAAATAATAAATTCAGAAAAAAAAAAATTTTTGCAGAAAGTTGAGTTGAATTTTTTTTATTTATTTATTTTTTTTAAGTTGAGTTTGAGTTTAGAGATTATATATATATATATACACAGAAAGAGAGCAAGTGATAAAGAAACCTGTTTTGTAAGTAACAAATTTTATTTTTGTTGCCCACGCACTTAATTTAAATGTTCTTTTTTAAAATTTTAATCCCACACTTCGTAGTATATTCATTATTATTTTCACTCTTCAGTTTATCTTGGAAAAAGCATTTACGCAAGTGTGGCAAAATAATACTAATAAAGAAATTTTTTTCTTAAACATGGCTTTAGGTATCAAAGTTCTTAAAGTGTATAATTTATAAAAGATATTTAATATTTTCCCTTCAACATTGAACTAAAAAAAATTAAAAATAATATTTTTCCCATTTTTTTTTTTTTTTTTTTTGGCTAGGTGTCAAGTACTCTGGCATTGGAACCACGTTCTCAATTAATTCATAATAAAACTAAATAACTATATATAAATGTTCTTCAATTAAAAAATGTATGAAAAAAACCCAAATAACTTTTACACTTGTAAGAGAAATAAAAAAGATTTTCAATTTCAAACAATTTTTTACTAAACATCCATTAATTAAGCCATTAATCTAGTCAAACCTCTAATTTAAACATGGAGGATTCATTTTTAAGTAAGAGTTTCCAACAGAACATCTGCAATGAATCCTTTCTTAAGTTACCAGGAAAAAAATCATAAAAACGACTAAAAGCACCGTTACACCTTAATTAGAGTTCCAGGCTCGAATTTCGATGCTACACGAAAACATTTCAAATAGTGGATTGATTTGCACCAATGATAAAAAAAAAATTTCGTATTCAAACTAACTATAAAAATATCATTGTTGTCATCATCATCAAAAATATCAAGTTTTTATTATACTTTAGAAATACAATGACAGCCGTGAAAATATCCTTAAAAAATGTTCCTTAATAAAGCGAATGTCTTTTCTTATTTAAATTTATAGCCAGTTCAAAATATTTTAGACGCAAAAAATAAATTTTTCAATACATAATGAAACTAAATAATTACATATAAATATCCTTCAATTAAAAAAATTTTAAAAAGTCCAAATAACTTTTACACCAATAAGAGAACTAAAAAACACGATTTTCAATTATTTTGAAAACAAGTTTTTGCTGAACATCATTAATTAAGGCATTAATCTCATCAAACCTCTAATTCATTTATTAATTAAGAAATTCCAACAGAACATCTGCAATGAATCCTTTCATACAAGTTACC